AGTATTCAAGCCCGAATTTGAGCCCTCAAATTCCACAAAAATTAACTTCCACGGATTCCTCAATGGCCTCCTCCAGGCAGCAGGATACCCAAAGTGAGCGTTGTGAAAGCTTGCACTTATCGATATTGCCGATTAACCCTGCTCTAAAAGACCTCTCTGATCCCGGACAGCGGGATGACGTGCGTTTTGAGTCAAAGGAGCTGTCAATAAAACCCACTGGCAAATACGTTTCTGAATCGGGGAGGCAAGATGATCTTCTCTTTTCGTCAAAGCTACCAATTAACCCGGCTTTCAAGGCCTTACATTTTGAACTAAAACAACAGGATGTCCATTTATTTCGTTCCAAAGCCATTCAGGATGTTGGTACCTCCATCCCTTCAAGGTCAATCACTCCGTTTGTTCAAACAGAATCTACTTTACAACATAGCTGTCGAATAGAGGACCTTTTTCTCTCGGAATTGCCAATTAACCCAGCTAATAATAATACCATTTTAAAAACGTCACATAAAACTTCCCTTTTCTCCAGGGAGTCCAAGGATGGATCGAATTCTCAATTGGTATCCCTGGAGCCGTTTTTCCTTTCTAACCCAAAAGGAATTTCAAGGCCATTAAGTTGTGCAACTGGCCACTCTGATGACATTTTCCAATCGGAATTACCGATTAATCCAGCTTTTAAGGACCCCGTCTCACCACGACTTCCAATGTTTCCTCACCCTCATCATTCTGATGCTGCTGATTGATAGTCGATAATGTCAAGTTGGGAAGTGAAAGTCTTTCGGCAAACATATGTTCCTCACAGGGTGCCATACTACCCGCGACCCTCCCATCCCACATTCTCTTTTCTGTTTGGTCGGGGCTGGCTATCAATGCTACATACCATGCTGTGTCCTGAGAGCAGAGCCAACTCGACATTTCGTTAACTCCTTGTCCACTCGATATACTTGCCTATAGGAAACTATTGAATTACGGGATAATTTTAATATCCATTTTCAACTGGCGGGTACGTCGGCAATGCTCTGTTCCATGTATCACTCTACGAATGTAACTGGATTCCGACTTTCTATGTTCCAGCTTCCGCACCCTTTTCATTTCGGGCAAACGAGCCCGTTTTCATTTTAACGACAGCATATTTAGAGATACTGGCATGAAGAAAATTTTGCAATGCTTGGATGGTAAATGGTCAATCATAGGTTACTTTGTTAACTTTATGGTGTTTTTCATTTTGGCTTTATTTACGTTTTTGATTTTGGTCTTTTTCTTTCTTTTCTTTCTTTTTTTGCTTCCCAGCGTCGTTTTCCGAGGTACCAATAATCCCTCTTGGTTTCAGGCGATGCTTTGTTTCTGCGAGCATGGGCATTGACAGTTCCTGAACAGTTTGGCCCGCCCCTTGTCACCGCATTTATTATTATTACCTTATTACGCCTTCTTCTTCATGTACTTTGCAAGCTCGAGGTTTTATTTTTGGCCATGGAATTCCTTGGAGGTTTTGACAATATTTTTCTTTTCCCCATGAATAAAATCTTCTGCTTCGCAGTTTCATAATTTTTACATTTTTGGCAAGTCTGAGCGGATTTCCATGCATGGTTCGTCACATTATTTTTCTTCGATGAACATTTCCCAGAAGCCAATCAGGG